AAAGTTGTTGAATATTTGGGATCAATGGCATCGGCCAGATGTTGCAGCGGCCTTCAGGAAGCGGCTACATCCGCAGATGCGCCGGCTGTACCTGGACTTCCTTGGCTGCACCATGCTAACAGATGCCAGCGCCTCCGCACCCAACTCCTCTACTCGAGCGAACCCTCCATCCTCCTTTTTGCGACCGGTTCGCCCGGGGGGAGGGGGGCGGAGAGGTTTGTACTTTGCAGGGGTTCTTGCGTGATCCAAGGTGTCATCTCCTTGGCCTCGCACCTTCCCCCGCAGATTGAAGAGCTTCAGCTGCACTTCGCCGGTTGCCTCGGCATTGGTCGGGCCGGCGTGGAGCACCTCAAGGCTCATTTGCCCCCAGTCTTGCGGTACTTCAAGGCAACCTTTAAGGGCACAGACGTGAACCAGAACTTTCAGAGCCTACAAGAGCTTCAAGCATTTTAATGCATGACGAATTCGGTTTCTGGGTGGATCAGCCTTAGGCAGCGGCATTCTGCCATTGCCAGTGCTGCTGTAGGCCGAACTCCTTGCTAGCTTTCTAGCGGGCGCTGGCATGCGTCCATGGAGCACAATTGCGTTCTGGGAGCGGGTTTCCCACCACATGCTTGAAAAGCATGTGGCTGCCTCTAGCATGCCGGACCTTCTTTTGCGAGTCGAACAAAGGTCACGTGCCTCGGACCTCAATGCTGGAGCTGAGGTGCTCTGGAATCTTTTGACCGCAGGCCAGTGCTCCTGCTGGCCCCAGTCCCACTTCATGGTGCCCGGGACAAGGCCGTGCGCAGGTTCCGCGAAGCCCTGTGTTGGAACTGCCGCCCAGGAGGCCAGGAGAGCCAGGACTGCCCGTATCAGCTTAGTTCGGTGCCTGATGGCGCGTCCCAGTGCTTCAGGAGGCAGAAGCCGAAGCCTTGCCCCTATCGGTTGTTGCCTGATGCAGCTGCTTGCTGATTCAGCTGGATTGCTGGTCTTTTTAGGCCTGGACTGGACACCTTGTTGAATTTCAGATCGCCTCGGATTGATCGGTGCTGGCCACAGAGAAGCGACGAATTATCCATGAGGTTCATGAGTGATTGGGGGTCAATCAGGTAGCCCGGGGGCGAGCTGGCTAAGGTCATACAGGAACATATAGGACTCGGACTCGGAGAACCAACAAGTGGCACCTTCTCTGCGGGATGTCATTGTACCTTAAATTTCAATTCTTAAGTTGCACGCTTTGTAAAATGCAGAGCGCGCACGGCATCATTAAAGCCGCCGGGTCTCCGTAGTGAGTCGTCAGTGAGGATTCAGCCTGGCGGTTTGGTGCAATAGGTTGCCCACTGCCCCACAATGCCGGGGATTTCAAACAAATCCGCGCAGAAGTGGAGCTGATGTGATTTGCCGCAAGTCCTCAAAGGACATGTGGTTGCAGCCTCCGTAATTACCGCATTTATGGGGATCAGGAAGGTGCCGATGGACACGACTCCTTCGTCGAAATTCAAAGACCGCTCGCTGCACGTTGGGTGGGCGCTGGCGCGGCGCTGGGATTCCGCCAGGTCGCAGCCCGAGGCGGCGGATGATATGGATCACCTCACCTTCTTGGGTGAACGCCTCAGCCGGCAGTCGATCCTTTGGACATGGCTGTGGGTCACAACCAATGGATTGGGATGGTCACTGGGGGAACGGGATTTTTACCATGGCCATATTGCAAAGCAAGTGACTGGTGTGGATGTGTTGGATTGGCGAGCACTGGGGGTGGAACGAGCGAAAGTGATATGAGTCGGGATCCAATTCTGATTTGAGTTTGAAGTAATTGTAGACTTTGAGATGGATCATGGGGGAAGTTGTCCACTGCTTGCATTGTACCGACTCACCACAATTTGCGATTGTGATGCTGCCTGTCAAGGATCAGCTTTGTTCACACGCAGAGCGGGGGCCCTGTGCCGATGTTGTGTGGCTGCCCAGGGTTGGGCAAAATGTGTTTGAACCACTAGACCCTGGCCCCCTAAGTTAAATCAAAAGGATGTTGTTTACACAATACTGGCTAAAACATCTTAAAGCAAGGGTTTGCCCAACTGTGACTGTTTCTTACTTTGAGAAAGCTTGTTAGGTTTCAGGGCCGCGGGTGGTCCTTTGCACTCCTAGGCGCGAGGGCGAGACCGCATTCCAAACGGCCTGCCTGGTGTTGGAATGCCCAGGCCAGGCTCGCCTGAACCCACGGACGCCCCAGCTCCATCTGAGACCGTCAAGGCAGGAGGGGTGTCTTTGTGAGGGGCCATTTTTGGGGATGGCTTAAAACAAGAGGGAATTCAGAAGGATTCCTCCTATTTTGAAACAAACCCAGGAAACCACCAACAAAATGTTCCTTCATGCCTCTGACTATGTGTGCGTGGGGTGCATGGGTTGTCTCGTAGGGTTTTTGTCTAGATAGAAACTGCTCGCATCACATTGCTTCGGGAGCGTGTGAGTGGCAGGTCAAAGGCAAGTACTGCAAGGCGAGCTGCTCAGCAAGCGAATCTTGGTGAGGTTCATGCTTCGGTGGGCAGGTCATTGATGGCCACGCCTTTGAGTGCTACGGCGCCCACACAGATGTCCCGCCTAATGATTGCTTGTTCCAGCGCCAACGAGAGGACGTGACTCTGTAGGGGCTATTGTCCTGTGCGTTTCCCGCCTTGCGTTTTGCCTGCGACGCCCTCTGGCTTTATTTGCCTTGGGCTCGCCCCGACTGGCGGATACCCACCCGCAGGCTGTTTTGCAACTCCGCAGTCTTTCAACCTCAGCACGCCACGCAGTTTTGCAAATCGCCCCCTACCACGCATGGAAAGCCAAGTTTCAGAGAATCTCATGACTTTTTACGGCAACCTTTGAGCACTTTAGCAGGACAACAGTTGTGGCTACAGTGCCACGCGGGTGCACTTGGGCGGGTGTCATTTGGTGGGCGCCTGCGCAGTGCTCAACGGGTGCACTGGATGGACGTGCTTATCACTTGGCAGGTGTGTTTATGTGCAGCAGTAATTATGCGTGTGTGCAGTGCTGAATGGGGGTACTTGAACGGACGTGCTTGCCATTTGGCAGACATGCGCGCGGTGCTGCGCGGGTTCGCTTGTGCGGCCGTGCTTGCTCTTTGCTGCTTGCTGCGCAGCGCGCTTGAGCTGTCTTGGCAGGCGTGTGTGTGTGTGTGTAGCGCTGGGCTGGGACATTCCGGCGGGCGCGGAGTTTAGGGCTAAAGTTGCGTTTCGGGCTGCGGGTGGGCAAGTAACTGGGGCTCACTAAGCCAACCTTTGGCCTACCCAAGCCCCACCCGGAGTCAACCCCACGCGCGGCAGACCCCCCGGAACTCACCCACATCAACGCCCACCTGAGGCACATCTTCAGCCCATTCACGACCATTCTGAGCCTTTCCAGCCTCGTCTTAGACCACCCTAATCCCATCACAAAATCACGACCAACAAGTGTAGCACACGCTCCATCTCGAAATCGCAACCTTTCAGTACAAGTGTGGTACGCGAAGTAGACTTTGGCAGCAAAAGGCAATCTATGCGCAAAACGTTATTGTTTTGTTATCGTTTCTGGTCAGATTCCAGCTTGCTGCCCAACAAGCTGTGTTTTCCAAGCTGGCAAGCAATCGTTATCATTTTTTAACTCCACATCCTTTTGCAGTGAGCAGTGCCAGTTTTTGGACACGAGGAACCTCCGAATACTAAACCTAGACTACCGGGGTTTTTGGACAACCTCAAGTATTTGTTGATGCTTGGCCTTTGTGTTGCGCCGAACATTGTTGTGAGGTGTGGTCCTGAAAGGTTGCGATTTTAAGCTGGAGCTGCCAAAGTGTACTTCGCGTCTTGTCCTGAAAAGAGCTGGCGCTGGGTACTTCGCGCGCTGCACTTGTACTAAAAGGTCGCGGTTTCGAGGATGAAAGCGCTGCGGGCTCATGCGGAACGATAAGGACTTGTTTTAAAGAAAACCCCAGAAAAGTAACTCTAAAAACACCGAGGATTTTTCCCAACCTCACCTCCACTTGCGCTGCCTCTTATGCTTCTGAATCCTTGCGCCTTGCACCTTGCACCAGTTTTGCTGGATTTCTTGCGGGTTGGCCCTGCTTGGGTCATATTATTTGTTACCCCCAGCGTGCCCTGAGCCATCCTGGGCATGTTTGCCAGTTCTATCCATGCTGCTACCTCACTGCAGCCTGTGCCATAGGCCAAAGCCCCTGAGCGGGCATTGCATTGCACAGCTGACAAGTCACAGATCAGGTGCATCTCGGAAAGAGCAATGCCGGCATGAGTTGCTGCTCAAGGGTTCGGCGGCTCGCACTCGCTGCCAGGATGGAGTCATTCGTGGAGCGGTTGGAATTCGCCGTGCAGGCCAGCCAACAGATGCGTGACAAGAATTGCCCCAATGCGGAGTGACAGGATTACAAGAATGGCGCAGGAAGGAAAGAAAAGGAGAAAAAGCTGCAACCTGAGAGACTCACACGTTTGTCAGTCAGATCGGAAACATGGCATAGCACATGTCGCAAGGCCGGTCCTCGGCAGCTAGGCCATCCGTGAGGCTAAACTACGATCGATTTGCCCCGGCGAGAAATGGGCAGCGACTGCCGAGTTGTGCATGCAACTCCACACATTTGCCGCTGGGTATTTGGGCTCAAAGGCCTTGCGCATGCATGGGTCCGCCGGACGAATGAAGGTGTGCAGACTTTGGGCGCGCACCTTGTTCCACCCCCCCCCATCTTGGACTTCTGACCTGTCATGCTCAGGTTTGCCAAGATGGGCATGGGCGGTGACGCACCTCCGCTGAAAACTCCAGCAGCCAAGGCAGCTGTTTGAAGGCTACATCTCTCTCGTAGTTCCTTCGCATTTGAGGCCGTGGATGAGGTGGTGGAAGAACTCGGGTTTGGCCTGTATCAGTGGCTTGGATGAACCGCCCAGCATGCCCAAACGTATAAGATGCATACGACTATGGACTATAATTAGAGGCTGTATCCTACACCCTAAAAAGATAAGATGGAATTTGGGGAGGGCGGGGTGACCCCTGATTTGTAGTTGCATTTTTAGTGATTGGCAAGATTGGCAAAGAAATCGTTGCCCGAGATGGCCTTGCTATTCTCAGGCTGGTGGTGAGGATCTCAGCTGTGAGTGTCGCAAGCAGAAGCCCGGCCGACTGCAAAGATCCCTTGCGTTGGGCATGCACTGGTCTCATTTATCCGCTGCTAAGCCTCTTTTCCTGACCGGGGGCATCTTCCTCGCGGAGGGTGCTGAGATGCTGATCATGGGTCAGAATCTCATGCGCGTGAACTGTGACGAGAAGCTGCTCCATGATTTGTCAGCAGTCTTGGAGCGACAGTTTCAGGTTCTATAACTTCGCTTCTTCACCGGCATTGGGACCTTGATCCTGTGCTTCGAGGTGGCATGGTGTCAATAGCTGCTTGGAGCATTCAGTGGGGTGGCACTAGCTGGAGGGGCAGAAGCCGGGGCGGGGGGGGGGCGTTCTGGACAATCTCCTTGCATGGAGCGCACACGTTTTTCGACCTTTGCATTTGCTCACTCACAGGTTTTCATCGGATTCTCGGCCACTCGCCCGCCGAAGATGCAGAGGTTGACGCTATAGCTCTTAGGTCATGCTCTTTTTGTCTTAGCGCAGTGTGCAGCCGAGGCCGGTAACTTTCTATCAGGCCAGGTAGGGGACCGCTTTGGACGGCGAACTTCTATCTTGCTGTCGCCAATGGCCCAGAGTTGCTTTCCTCAAATGCTTTGTGAATACACGCAGCCAAGGTATGCGTTGATTGCACTTTTCGGCTTTGCCACGGCGTGCTCTCAGGGGTGTGAACCTCAATTTTGCTTACGGCCGACTTTGTGAGCTGTCCATGTCTCAGGCCCCTCTTGATGCTGTGCCTGCGCTTCTTTGTGGGCGCCGGTGCTGCCCACAGTCGGGTATGTGTCAAGGGAGGGAGGCCCCAAAATGGTGGTCACCTTGAAAGGCGCAGACCCAATGGTACAGCATGGATGGCGCGCCCGGAAGGCTGCGGTATTGGCTTTCCTGCTGCGTACTCGCTGATGCCAGAGGCCGGGCGGCAGCTTTCAGGACCATGTGGGGGGTGTTTCTTTTTGGGGGTACCCTTTTCGAGGTGGTTTTAAATGAGAGCAAAAGGCAAACCACAAACTTTGAGGGTCCCCTATTTTGAGAGAAGCCCACGTGGGTGTTTCGGTTGCATCTAAAAATTGCCGTGAATATGGAAGTTGCAGCCTGAACCTCAGGCAGCTGGTCTGACATGATAGGCTCCAGGTATTGGTTCAAGGTCCCAGACATCACATTCAATTTGCTGTGAGGTCTGTTTTGTGCATGGGGCACCCATGGCCCCCGGAAAATGGCCCGGCCCCCATTGCATGGCCTTCGGGGCCTTCGGCTTGCAGGTGGCCCCTTGCGGATGGCGAAGCAGCTTGAGCACCTTGATGATCGGCTTCATGCCGCTGGGGGAGCTGATCGGCGCTTCGGTGGCCCCTCACCGCATGCTCCGGGGTGCCGAATGCCACGGGGCGGCATTGAGCCGAGGTTTTGCTGGTGGATCCTGAGTTGGACAACTCGGCTCGCGGCAAATGCCTCAGTTGAGAGAGCCGAGCAGCGGTAGAGGCGCTTCTGAGGCTGCAGCGTCAGCACTTACTACCCATCCAGGGCGCTTCTGGAGCCTGATGCCAAGCTGCAGGGGCATAATCGGGGCCTCGTGCAAAGGTAGGCAGGGTTTCCTTTGTTAAATGCGCAGCAATCAGTGCGTTTGCACTTGCCGGGTGTGATCGCCATGCCATGCCACCGGCTGTTACATCTTGCCGCGCGCATGCTTTTCCGTTTGCTTGCATTCACCGTTTGGGGGAAGACCTACGAAGAGAAGTCGTCTTTGGGCGCCGCCAACTTGTTGGCATGGATTGGCTTGATGCCGGCTGCCACGACTTAGGCCAGAGACCTGTGCGTGGAAGACCCTTTGTGAGATGAGCGTCCCTGGCCTTAGCCGCCGCGGATCTAGCTGCAGAGGTGTGGGTTGCACTGCAGGCCATCCCGGCATTCATGTTCTTCATTCTTGCCCGCAACTCAGGGTGATTTCTCAAAGCATTCTAGATCATTCTAGCATGTCTGGACCCTGCAGTGCTGTACTCTTGTACTGTCCCCATTGTGGATTGCTGCAAAGCGCCTCCCATGTTTCGATCAGGCCTGCAAGTTCCTGGACGAATCTCCTCAATTTCTGGCAGGCTGCGGTCGCTATCAGGAATGTGAGGAGGCCAGGGGCCCAACGTGCAGCTCGGAAACTTGGCCCAGCATGCTAAACTCGCTCCGCACTTTTCAGGTGTTGCAGAGGATGGCCTACAACCCAGCTGGCGGATGCGTAACGATCACCGATTGTCACCGATTGTCACCGCCAGCCAGCGCTTAGGCCAAGCTGAACGGAGGCAAGCTGGACGTCTCCAAGCTGCGCCCGTGGCCCAGCGGCCCAGAGGCAATAGATTGAGGCAACGGTCCGCCCAGGCGCTGCCTTCGACTTGGATGCCACAGGCACTGGTGGGCCGCGACTGACTTGGGATGGGCTGTGAAAGTAAACCTGTTTGGCCCATACCGCGCCACACTGGGCAGAGCCACCTGTCAGGGGTTTAGAAACAGCTCAGGACAGGAGGGATCACTGCAGCTGCCTTGTCTGAGTTTCAGGTGATGGCAGCCCGATTATGGAGAGGAGCTATTCCTTTGTCAGCGCAGTGGACCTGTTGCTGCCTTTGTCAGAGGTCACAGAGGCTCTGAGGCTCCCTGGGTCCAAGGTTGTGGCAGCACCATTTTTCCGTGGCGGCTTTCATGTGCTTGGCACATGTGGCGAAGGAGTGGGTTCGGGAGGTAAAACCATGGCAGAGTTCTGAGGACTTGAGTCTCATGCTGCTGCCCAGGATTTCAGCTTGTTCGGCCTGTCCTATATGCTGCCACAGCCATTCATTCGCAGTAAGGGAAAAAGCTACGCACCCGAGGGCGTGTAGCTCTTTCCTTTGTCTTTTGGCACTCCAGTTCTTGCTCCAGTTCTTGCTAGATGATCTGTTTGCAAAGGTATTTCGCATTTCTGAAGGGGCTCGTCGCATGGACCCCCAGTGCTGAGCGGAAGCATGAGTGGTGTGATTCCTGCGTGTGTTAGGCTGGAGTGGAGTTGCTGGTGGTGCAGCCCCAAGAGCCTTAACGACAGTCAGTTACAAGGAGCCATGTTCACATGACGAGGTGGCTTTGCTCGCTCTGCCTGGTGTGCTGGTCACATTTCTTTGCTCCAGGATGCCCAATGTGCGCCACGATATTCTCCATGTCATGGCGCCTTACTGCTCTGACGGCAGGTGTCGCTGGTGTACATGATGTCCTGCAGTGGCCTCTTAGGCGCGGCTGAACCCGACTATTTGAGCATGGGTCGAGTGCAGGCAGCTTGTGCGCCCTGGGGATGCTGCAGGGGGCTCCTGTCGCCTTGGCTGGTGACTTACCAACAGACCAATAGCCGCAACTCCCTTGTGCACGCGGTCCAGGCAGCGCCAGCGGCATACCTGGTCAAGATCCTGGCAATGTGAAGGGCTTAAGTTGGGCCGCCAGGGGCCCAGTGCTAGACTCCACAGGTCCTTCTTCGTATTCACGGTCACCTACACTGCCGCGGCCTTCCCCACTCGGGTGCGGCAGACGGCAGCGAGAGCCTCAGCACTTTGACGGCCCAGAGTTTTCAGTGTTGGGTTCATGGCATGAGAGATGGCGTGATGCGCCTAGATTGGACACTTGCTTCGTGCCATCCGTGCTCATACGCCTGGAATCGCGTGCAATCGCGTGGGCTGAGGTGGGGTTCTGCACTGCAGCTGGCCGGATGGGATCCATCAGTGCGCCCGCGCCCGACGCGATTCCCGCAAAGCTTTGCGGTTTGGCAGGTGCGCCGCTAGTATTTGAGCTCGGCAAGGAAATGTCAGGAGGATTCGATGTCTTCATTGGCCACTTGGTGATGTTTTAGCAGAAAGCAACTGATAGATATCCCCTTACTCTCCACATGTGATGAGGATGTCTCATCGCTTTGCTGCTGACGGTCTCTCTTGCTGCTCCACTTGCGCTACCGAAGTGGGGGCACGGCGATCCTCAGGCAAGAGGAAGAATGGCAATCAGATCAATGTTGTCATTCAATGGGCTTGATTGCTTTGAGACACGTGAACGCGGACAGGCAGACCTGATGGAGCCGATCTCCGACGTGAAGGCAGCACACGTGGCTTGCACGTCTTTGGGAGCTGTGAGCAATCAGGATTACGGGAGCATCAAAGGCTGTGCCTGAGAGGACTCTCTTTGCCCCGTGCAGCAACATCATACCAACATTCTGCTGACTGAGGGTGATTGGACATTTTCACCGGGTTGATGTTGATGCAACTGAGTTTTCGGTTCAGGCAGGCCAGGATAGGCAGAGCCGGCAATGGCTCATTCTGCACCAAGCCCATGGCTGAATCTCACACTTAGTGAGAGACGATGCTCACATTTTCGCCGCTCTTGTTCTCGATTTCTCCAGCTAGGCTTGGCTTTGCATGTTGTTTGGAGCGTCCTGCTCAGTCGAGATTCGGAGACTTTCGTGCCAAGCCTTTGGCGAGCATTGCCTCAAAGAGTAATTCCGGCGGTATTGGGATTTCAGGGCTTTTGCCAAGTGGCTGCAGCTGAAGATGAGAGCACGTCGGGCTTCAATATATTTGTCTTTCTAGTGCCTGCAGGTGTCATTGCTTTGCTGCGCTGGGTTTTTTCCCTTGGGCCCAAGATGGATGAGGAGAACGCAGGCTACGCATCCACGACCTTGCGTGGCCGAGACAGTGAGGAAAAGCTTCAAGCCAGGATAAAAGCCATGGAGGAGCAGGTGAAGCGAGAAGAATTAAAGACCAGGATGATGATGCAAGGTGGTCCTGCTTCACAGGCAGACCTCGACGAACTCGCACTGCTCGATGATGACTTGTTCAGTGCAGACCTGAAGCGGCAACTGCGGGCTGCTCAGGAGAAGTGACAGGCGCAAGTACGGGAAGCCATCGGCCCGAATTCGCATAAGCCTATCTATCGCCTGTTGGAGAACTCCACCCCATTTTCCGAGTTTCACACGCGCTTTTACAAGGGCACCCCGTAAGGCAAGAGGAAAATGGATCCCGCCGGATTGCAGAGGGCCAAAGCGTTTGGTCGCCTTGGAGAGTGCTTGGTACTGAGCGGCAGGTGGCTTAGATGTTGCGAGCAATGCGCACTTGTGCCAGGAGCGCATCGGCCGACGAGCTGGCCATCCCATTGCGCCAGAGTCAACAAGAGCGGCAGTTGGCAGCGCTACAATCAACGCAAGTTAAAGTGAAGGTACCAGTCCCAATATATAAGGTTTTGGGTAACGTGTGTAGAGTCACGCTTCGATTTGTGAGTCAGTTGGCAGCCATGAGACGTGTCACGTGGATGATATCTCGGCTGACATTGAGGGTGGCTTTTGACTGCCTCGAAGCCATGTTTGTGACAGATATAAATGTCCTTTTTCTGTAGCATAGTCACAAGTCCTAATGAACCAATTTGCTGATGCCTACTGCAACATAGCCTGCACCAAGTCGTTCACATTCAGCTTTGTTTTTGGATGCTTTGTGCAAAGAGCTTGAGCCTACTTCCTGGGTCATTTTTGTGAAAGAGGTTCCCTGCTGGCTTCTCTGTCCCGTCGCTCGCTGCCATGGCAGCCCGAGAGGGTTCACGTCATCGGGCAGGCCGTGGTGCAAATTCTGGTTGAAGCTGGGGCAATGAAGGGCGATGGCTTGTCTCGTGATTTGTGTAAGGGAGAGAGAGAGAGAGAGAGAGAGAGTGAGAGAGAGATATATAAAAACAAAACAAAACAAACACAAAACAGAAGGAAGAGTTCGAAGTTCAGGATGTCAGAACCGGATGGTCATCAAGGCCTGGCTTGTCACTGGGAGTGGGCCCTTTTGCAGCGCACCTCCAGGCTTGCGCTCTGGCCATCTCAGCCTGCCTGTTAGCTCCTCGCACTGCCCTTAGTCGACGCATTTTGCCACATGCAAAGGTGCGTTCTTTTGGGAATGGGTGGTTTCTGTTTGGTTTACCTTTAAGACAACCCCCCCCCAACCAGCACCCTCAAAAAAGATACATCCATGTTTCAGAACCCCACAATCAGCACATGGACTTTTGAGGTGAGATGAGTTTTGTGGCTTCAGCGATGGTGGGGGGCTTAGCTGCTCCTGTGCTTTTCACGCGTGCCTAGTGGAATGAGCGGGCGCAAGATGCCTCTGGGTGGCTTTCGCCAGGAAGGAGCCTCAGACAGGCGCTGGCTGTGGCTGTTTGTTCGGAAAAGGCATGCCAAAGGCCTGCCCCTGAAACACAGGACGTGATTTTTGTGCATTCGGCAAAGCAGCAACTGCACAGCATGCCAAAGGCCTTACAACAGAAACATACAGCAACACAGCAGCCCGCGCAAGCCCCCATCTATTCTCCTCGACAGTGGGCACTGAAGAAACGTGACACTACATTTCACGCAGAATAATCAGGGACGAATGAGCATCAGGCAATCCTACAGCAAGAACATACAGATATGTTTCCCGGCAACAAAGCAGCAGCCACACGGCATGCCAAGAGATTGCGCCTGAAAAGGAATAACGCCACATTCTTAGCAAAACAAGCAGGCCTGCAACAACTGCGAGTCACGGCCTGGACCAGCAGGGCAAGTCTGAGTCAAATTCCGAGGCACCACGCCTTCTTGAAGTTAGAACCCCTGTAGCTTTCGAGCGTCAGGCATCCCTGTGGTTATGAAGCAAGGTGAGCCCTTGCGTGTGATGCCCAACGATCATGGCACATAGACAGTGGCATGGACCAGATCAGCGCTAAACGCGGACTTTCCACTTTCTGCCTTGAATGCGCCTGACCTACGAGATGATGGGAGTGAGCATTCCTAACATACTCAATCTCAATATCGGCATTGACTGTAATTCAGCTCCCAGGCTGTGCTTCAGGGCATGAACAGTACAGCAAGCAGACAAGAATTCAGGGGGACACTTTGGATGCACAGCAAATTGCTGGACAAGTCACATGGAATGCTGTTGGATGAGAGTTTCAAGTGCCACCAGTGCAAAAGCGCTGTTGCATTTTGTTGTTTGTCCAAAGCCGACCTTTTGACCTTCTGTTTTCGGATTTGGGCCCGTTTCTAGTCATGGCCCTGAAAGGCCAACTTGTTATTTCCAGACCTTTTGACAAGCAAGTTTTGTCTTTTTGCATTCTTTGCAAGGTGCGGGGATTGCTTGGGTGAGTTGGCCCACTGGAGCACTCCGAGGTTCGAAGAGGTGGCCCACAACGCAGATTTCCAAGCCTTCGGGCGGTCACTTGGAAAGGAACCTCCTTTCATTTGAACGTTTCGCAGCTTGCAATTGCGTCGTTGTATTTGCTTCTTTGTTTTGGGTGGTTGTACGCTTAACGTAGTGTTCATTTGCCCTGCTCAGGTGCCTGGTACGCCTTCAGATGGTGATAGCGAGGGCAATTCGGATGCCATTGCGAGGGTCGCTGCCTTGTCTCTTCGTTTGAAGTTCGCCCCTAGCCACCAGCTGAGGTGGAGGAGTCATCCGCGGCTGATAGTAGCCTCACACCTGGTCAGACGCAGTTCCCCCAGCCACCTTGAACAATGCACGTGTTCAGCATGCATGCTGACTTGTTCAAACTGCCTGAAGTCCTCATGATTTGAGGAAGGCAGATATGGCCCGGAAACGGCTCTGGGAGATGCCAAAGGAGGTTGGCATCCTTTGGTCGAGGCAGTGAGCAGCGTGAGATCGCGCCATTGCTAGGTGGCCCCGTTACTGCAGCTGGCGCAAGTTTCGTACCCAGATGATGACCGCACAAGTAGGCATTGATGCATTTGGCTGCAGGTCACCTATAAGAACAGGGAAAGCCGCGATCGAACACGTGACCTGGTGGTCATGAAGGCAACTCTTGCAATTTGTTGTAATGTGGTGTCCGTTCTATTGCAGCTTGGCCTGCAGGCCAAAAACACCAAGGCCGGGATGTTCACGCGCCCATCCGCTTATCGGTTGCCGGTCGAGAGCTGGTTTAAGGGTCGGAACGAGAGTCATACATCAGCATGCGTTCAGTTGAAGTGTGAGCCGCTCTGAGGCCATGGTGAAGAAGGCAGAGATGATCATAAAGACCGGACAACTCTCCAAACTCACCATGAAGAGGCCGTCACTGGAGAGTTGACTGCTCATCACTCTCCAAGTCCCGAAGGCTGATGAGGAAAGGGCGTGAGAACTTTGGTAGGGACAATGCGTGGCAATGGAATCGGCCAGGCGCGTGTAACTTGAAGCAAGCATTTTACGCAGATGCCGCTGTTAGCCTGATACTGTGGAGGTCTTCGGGCTTTCCGCATGAGCGCTGCACCTATGCCAGATGCTGCGGGATGTGATGTGTTTCCAGGATTTACATTGCCAGACATATTGCGCTTGCGCTCAGGGAGCGGCATGAAGGATCTGCGGTATGTTTCTGAGAAAGAAAAGTATCAGCGAAAGAAGAACGAGATCAGGCCGCGCAAGGGCTGATTGCCAGACGGACCTTTGTTGATGCGGTGGTATGGAGGCCGCCAGATCACAAACGAAAGCGCAAGAGGGACCGTTGGGCCCTTAGATGCTATCAGGCAAGCCTTGCCGATACTGACTCTAGTGCATGCCTGTACGATTGGTATTTGTAGCTGACTGACCTGTGTTGAAGCACGCGCCCCGCGGCCAAGGACCAAAGCATGATTTAAGATATGTGGGAAGCAGCTGGAAGTATGGCAAAGGAACCCGTGTTGCCAGGAGGCGCTTGTCGCATGGCAAGTATCACAGCAGAAGGCAATCTTGAGACTTTTGCAGGTGAAGTCATGTGCAGCGTCATTCACTACGATCAGATCGCCAAAACATTTAAACATATATACACCCATCAAATTATGGGTATAGGTGTAGCATGCATACATACATACGTACATGCGCGCACACACACATACATACATACATACATACATACATACATACATACATACATACATACATACATACATACATACATACATACATAGTATACATAGTACACTCATACATAGTACACTCATACATAGATTAATACGTGCATGCATGCATATATTACATTGCATCGCATTACAGTACAGTACGTTAATTTACATTATATGACAGTACGTAACATAAACATCACATGCATCACACACACATCACATGCATCCCATACATCATATACGTCATAGCACAACATAACATACCATAACATGACATAAGATAAAATAACATAACGGAACATGCATGCATACATACACACATACACACATACACACATACACACATACACACATACACACATACACACATACACACATACACACATACACACATACACACATACACACATACACACATACACACATACACACACATACGCATATACACAAAAACACATATACACATACGTACGTACGTACGTACTTAGGTACGTACAGACATACTACATACATAGTATCTGCTGTTATCCACATACTTGTGTGGTGTGCATGGGGCGTGGAAGGGTAGCAGTACTACAAATACCAGTGTATCTGAGCTTGTTGCTGACACGACTCTGCTGAACAAGCACGGAATCCGTTTTTTACCTTGCCTGAATTGCCAATAATTTGGGTACCCACATCTTGCACGAGGCACTTTTGTTTTAAAGGGCCCTGGCATAGCCAACTTTGCATATTTACTTGAGAGATCCAAATGTACTATTTGCCAGCTCAAAAACTCCAAACACGCCTAAGCACGTACTTTTCGCAGGGGCCAAAAAAGCCCTTTGGAATTTCACGGAGTAATATTAACACTATTTTGCGGATATACCCTGATAACTCGCTAACTTTACTTACATAATAACATTTACATATTTATAAATTTTATATGGATAAATATAGCTGAATATATATTTATGTATACCTATTTATATTATTTTTGATATTTGATTTTTAATTAATAAAGATAT